ATGGAGGCTGCGCGCTGGGTAGAGGTTATGTGATTAGTTACCGATCATTAAAATTGGGAGGTTACACACTTCGAGCCTCATGCTGCAAAACAGTGAAGAGGTTGAGGAGTTCAGAAGGGCCGCGTGCGCCCAGCAGCCCTCCTGTGAGGGCAGCGAGGCTTGGGGCGGCGATGTGGGGAGCCGTGGGGCGTAGGAGTAACTCCTCCGGCAGCAGGTAGTGCTGCTGTGCCCCGTGGGAATGTTCACGGCCATCGGGACCTGCCTGAGCAGGGCCAAACTCGCTTTAAAGCAAGGTTTAAACAAACGGGGGAAAAAAAAACAACTCCTTGCAGTGCGGTAGGTCGAAAAGGATCAAAACTTGAAGGCGTCTGAGATCCTCTCTTTGGAAAGAGAAAACCTGGTGCTTTGCACAAATTTTGCTTTGTAGGGTGGGGGCCAGGGTGACGCCAGAAACGACGAGACAGGCTTTAGGGGCTCTGCTCCATGCACGCCTCTGCGGCAGAGGCCCCAGGGCCGGGCCAGGCAAATCCCAGACTTTGTGTCTCCCAAGCCTTCACGTCCCTCTGCTCCTCAGCTGCTCCAAAGAGCTCAAAAATAACCGGGAGCCTCCCCCAGCAGTGAGGCTATGGGATAAATTTGACCCTCCAGCAGCACGTGAGGTGTTCGCTAAATATCCCCGGTTAAAAATAATACCCTCATATTCTGTACCTTCTGCGTGGAGGTGGAAAGCATTAATGCCACCGGCGTGATCGGTGCCGTGCCTTCAGCAGCAAAAGGGCCTGTCCGTGCCCAGAGTATCACCCTGCCGCACTCCTGTTCATCAGGAGTTTGATTTCTTTTAACTCATTGATTTTCTGGGACAGGTGAGTAGACAAAACCCAGCCACCTCCTTTCCCTGACCCCTGGGGTTGTTTGGGACATGAAGCAAGCCCAGGGAAATGCGATGGGAGCCAGGATCTCTGCCTCCTTAGGTGCCTTCAGCGGTCTGATTGCAGGTCTCCAGCCGGGAGGGGAGGGCCATCTCTGAGACGCTCAGAGGAGAGAGCAGCCCGGGGGGGCTGGGAAGCCACCTCAGCTCTCCCTCCTCTCCTCCGGACCAGCTCTGGTTCTCGGCTGTTGCTACGGGAGATGGAGAAGAGCCGTTGATGGAAAGCTTCTCGTAAGCGGCACCAAAAGAAAGTATCAATATTGCCATCCCGGGGCGGCAGAGCCTGACCTGCCAGCTGCCAAACGCCGGCACAGCGAGGGCAGAAACTCACGGCCCGTGTGAATTCACTGGGTACCAGCCCTGCCTTCGCATCTTCCACGACCTGATGATTAGAGCAAATTATAAGCCGGTGCTTTGGACCAACTTAGCTAAAGATCAGAAGGGAGACTAATTTCATATCATCACTGCCGCAGAACGCAATTAAATGGCTCTGCAAAGTTTTAACGCAAGTTATGACAAGAAAGTTAGGAAAAAAAAGAAATCCCCACACCTGAAGCCAGCAGCTCTGTCTAGCTGAGTCGCAGGAGGATGTACCAAGGCTACCGACCGCTCTCAGGGCTTGGAGGGCGACCTGTAGGCTACCTTACTTGGACGGGGTTTCTCTTCATCGGGAGTTTTTCTTGGGTTGCAGCAACTAAGGCACCAGAATTCATTAAAAACCCCAAACCAAAAGCCCAGCTGGTTGTTTCAACCGCCCGCCTGTGGATTTCTCCCAGCCGTCGGGGTGCTTCCCTTGCCGGGGCCGTGTTGCACAGCACCCACCCAGCGGTTACCCAACAGACCCCGCTCCGCCAAGCCTGAAGGCAGGAGAAGGTGCCAGGTGCCGTGGGGGAAAAGGCAGCGTCCCCCGGGCACAGCGGGGGGAAGGCACGAATGCACTGTGCTCTGCTGGCGGCTCGGCCAGGGCTGCTGTGGGATCCCCGTGGGCAGGCTCCCCATGGGCAGGGATGCGCAGCAGGAAGGACAGGTTTGGGAGGGAGTAGCTGTGGGAAGAGTGGCCTCTCCATGTTGCATATTAATGCTCTGCATGCTTTAATTGAGGTGGGACCTATTGCATGGAGCCATTAGCATGCAATGTGGAGGAACATGTATTTTTGGGATGCCTGCCTGGCTCGCAGACTCTCAGCCACGGGGAGGTGGTGGGCCGTGGGATGCAGGGGGAGGTGTCTCGTCCCCCCTCCAGGGACGCCGCTGGAGTCGCAGCTCCTTCCTCGAGCCCCTGAATCATCCCCGCTGCCATCTGCTGCACCCTTACTCTTCCCCGCAGATGTCCTTCTTCCTTCCCCAGACGGAGATGAGAACCAAGGATGAGGTGCCAAACGCGGCTTCAAACAGCATCTAATAAAACACGGGATTAATTTCTTCTGACTGGTGTTCAATGGCTCTGATTAAGCAGAGCAGGATTTAATTAGCTTGTTTGGACTGCCTCGAAACCCGTGCCAAAAGTGGGGGAGTCTCAGCGGCTGGGTCCCCCCAGGCCCCGACCACAAGCCACCGGGGGCTGGCAGGACCTTGCCCCCATGGAGCAGAGCCCGCTGCCTGCCCCACCAGGCTGGCAGCTCTTTTGGGATCCCCCAACCACTCTTTACCACCCGGGACGGGTCCCCTTGGCTGGGCTTAATCCCACACCCGGGACGTCCCCTTGGCTGTGCTTAATCCCATGGGGCAGGCATGGGGGGACACGGAGGAGCAGGGTGGGGGGGCGATGGACACACAGACGGGTTGGTGGCCCTGCCAAGGGGACACTTCTGCCTTCCCGAACTGCATCCCATCTGCTAAACCCTGTGCCTCTCGGCATAAACCAAACTCGCCCTGCCACCAAGTCCTTGAATTTAAAGTAACCCTGTTCTCTCCCTGATTTACTACCAGTTGCTGGCTCCTCTCCTCTCCCTCTGCCTGTCTCCTTTAACCCATTTCATTATCTATGCTAGCTTAGGCTTGTCTACGTGGGAACATCATGGTGAAGTTATTGCAAAATAGATGGGCTGTGAATGTAAAGCGCAGCAGCTATTCCCCAGCAGCTCCCTGCGTGGCAGCTTGGATTCCTTACCCGCAATACCTGCATTAACCTCGGCTGCAGGCAGGCACTGCAAAGTGCTGAGCAGGAGCACCCATGTGGGATGAAGCTCAAAGCTCCCGGACTTTCCCCAGCTGCAGGGAAGGCTGGGATGCAGCGCTGCATTCCCAGAGCTGGCACTCCTGGGATTTTAACTCTGCGGGTCCTCCTCTTTGCAGAGGAGACAAACAGAGGTAGAAAGCTCGACGGGAGAAAGCACCAAAGATAACAGCCAGGGAGCAGGATTTCCCCGTCTGAGGAGCACAGACAACTTGCGAGCCCCAAACTTGCGCTCTGGGGTGCGGTTGGACTCCTGAGGAATGGGACAGGTTGTGCAAAGGCAAAACCCAAAATGTCACACCCTTGTCACCCCATAGCCCTGACAAAGTTTCACCTCTACCCACTGCCTGCCAGTGCCAGCTGCTCCGGGCAGGTCAGGTCCTGGTGGTCTCCACCCACCTTGCCGCTAGCTTACATCTCCCTGCAAGGGATGTTTTGCAATTAAATATCCCCTGCCCAAGCAAACCAGCACGCAGGAGCTGTGGTCCTGCCCTGCACAGTGGCACGGTGATAACCCCCAGCCTGGCTCCTGCTGGTGACGGTGGCATTGCCGTGCTGCGCTGTCTGTGTCCGACCCTGCTCGTTCCCTGCGGCTGGGCTCTGGTGGCAGCTACGTGGGGCCAAGCAAGGCACTGGCGTGGGGCGAGGATGGCAATGGTGTAGCAGAGATCTTTCCGGGGGGTCCCAGCAGACCTGTGTGTGCCTGTGGCCCCTACAGACAATGGGATGGTGCCTGTCTTGGGGTTTCCCCCTCTACGGGCTATCCATCATCCCACAGGGATGGCCTCTAAGCTGTGCTACCTGCCACCCGGAGTCAGCTGTTCTCAAGTGAAGGGTTGCAGCCTTGCCGGGGTAGCAGTGGTTGTCAGCTGCCTCGGGAGCCAGGCAAGAAACCCCATTGCACCAAGTATTTGCAGTTTAACGTCAGTGGTTTCCTTACCCCTCTGCCCTCGGTGAGGAGGGGTTTAGGTGAGGAGCGGGCACCCAGCCGGCATTACAGGATTTGAATCCAGCTCTGCTGGGTCCGGGCTCGAGCCTCCTTGCTCCGCCGGGGCAGTGCCTTTGGGTCCTATCGCTCCCATTTCTTCTCCAGGCTGAGTCCCTTATCTGTCACCTCTTCCATCTGTCCCCGCCTGATATGCACCGCTGGCAGTGTCCCGAGCCAGCTGCCCCCACCGGTGCCCTGCAATGGGTAGGAGTGTCTCTTCGGCTCCTCTTTCCCGGGATGCTTTGCGGAGCTGGCTGGAGGGTGACCTTGGGTTTTGGAGTGGACGTCCCCCCTGCTGCCACCAGCCCCACGGGTGCTCCCACACCAGGGTGGACAGGTGCCAGGTGTGCGCATGGAGCTGTAAATCTGCTGCGAGCTTGGTGGCGGTACGTGTATATATTTTAGCAGCCTTATTTTAGGCAAAAAGCTGCTGCAGGGTGAGCTGTGGTCTGACTGGCTTTGCTGCCCACACAGGTTTCCTCTGCCGCTCCCGGGAGCTTTTTGGGAGAAAGAGGGACCTCAGGAGCTGGAGGAGAGGCTTCCCAGGCAGCAGCCTGCATAGGAGCCAGCATCCTCCAGGACACTCACCTCTGCAGCATCCTCCAAGGTTTCAAAAGCAGCCCTTGCTGCTCGGAGGCCTTGCCCTGGTTCTGCTCACACACACATCTGTGTGCGGCCATCATGCTTCCCCACAGGCAGAGAGGGGACCTGGCTGGTGCTCATCCATCCCGTTAGCTGCAGGATGCTGCACTCATCGGGCTCGCCCCCAGGCCATGGACCACGCGTCCTTCCCTGCTCCCACATTGCACTGAGCACCCCTTTTCCTAACTCAAAAAAAAAAAAAAGAAAAGCCTTTTCATCGAGCCCGTGTTTTCCTGGCTTGCAGCTTCACTTTGTCATATGGAAATGCTGTGACTGGCTCTTCCCCTCCGACCTTCAGGCAGGGAGCTGCTTCCCCCGGCCTGCTTTCACCTTTACCATTTTAAGTGCGGTCTCTTCCTTCTCCCTCTGAGCGCTCATCGTTCGCGTCTAGCCTGTGCGACTTGCTGACCCAGCATTCCTCCTCCATCCGTTTTGCCTCCATGCGTAATGCACCTCCATAATCTTTCCTAGGAAGGACATGCAGAGCGGGGCCATGGTGCCGCATCAGGGGCCGTGACCGCACGGGGGTCCTCATGTACCGGCCTGTGCTCCGCTCAGGGCCCCATGCTCATCTCCTGCACCTGGGTTTTCCTCACCGTCCACCCCGGTACTTGGCCCAGACACCTCCAGGGATGTGGGAAACCCCAAAATATCTAACTAGGGGGCTGCCTGCAGGACAGCGATGCTCCTCTGCGACACCCCCCGCTGTGCCGGCCGGCTCGCTGGCCCCAGGGACCTTTGTGCTAAGCCAGACTCAGCGCTCAGGCTGTCGACAGCCTCCTCGCATCCTTGCCCTGGCTGCTGGCAGATGAGTGGGGAGGAGGCAGGGGCTTGCGACTGCCTGCAACAACAGCCCGGGGGGGGAACTAGAGCCCAGATGTGAATAGCCCAGATGTGTACAACAGCCCAGATGGGAACTATAGCCCAGCTCTGCCCATGCCACAAGCCAAGGGATGCTTCGTGCAGGGGCTGCTGCCCCGATGCCTCCCTCTGCTCCAACATCTCTTGTCCTGCTGCAAGTGCTGCTTCTGCCCGGGGTACAGCCTCCAGGGTTTTGCCGTGCCCACAGTGTGCCCCCGGCCACCGCCATCGTCCCACCAGGTGAGAAACATGAGAGCCATTGCATGAGACCCAGCCAAAGTCTCTCCTGTTTTGATTGGTGGAGGCGTGGGCTGCTAACCGCAGGGCCTCGTTAGCTTAATGAATGAATTTCAAAGCTGGGCTTTCGGATGAGTTTTGGGCATACAGCAAACTCTTTGGGAGTGCCAGGCTAGGACACGGTCTTGGTGTCTCTGAAAAGCCTCATCTTCCGGTTTCTGAGTGAAATAATAACCAAACCAGGAGATTCTCATAAAGGAAATCAGCAAAGACAACTACTTTTATATGTGCGCTTAAGTATTTAGGTCAGTATTTTTAGAATAAATAGCCGTGGGTTGGTTCCTATCTTTTCACTTTCATTTTTCACACTTCAGCTTCATTTTCCCGAATCTGGTTATACTGAAGCAGCAATTGGGTTTTTCAAAGCGCTCACACCTACCAGCACGCTGACCTCGCTGGCTCCCATTTCTCCATCGGCTCCTCTGGCCTTTTCTTCTCCCCTGAGCTATTAGCACAATTACGGGCTGAACATGGCCCCCTCTGCCTTAAAGATTTCCCTGAGAGCAGGCGAGGGATGGGAGGGATGGGCTGGGGCAGGGTCGGCGTCGGCTCTGCAAAGAGGTCAGGAGCTTTCCTGGTCTGAACTGGGAAGGGGGTGCACGTGGTGCACAGCTGTGGCTCCGTGCACGGCTTCAATCCTGCACCCAACACCACCCAGTCCCTTCCCGCACCGGGGAGAGCCCCAGCCACGAGCTGGGCGTTGCACCCTGCAGCCTGCTATTAAAAGCAAACCATCTAGAAGAGTCCTTCGGAGTGAAAGCAGCTTTTAAAGGAAACATTGGCAGTCTCGTTTGGCTGCAACAGCGCCTGCTTTGCTAACGGCCTCCAAAATTAGAAGAGGCTCAGAAACTTAGGATGGATGTTACTGCAGCAGAGCAGGGAGGGGGGATGAGGGGGAGGCTCAAGCCTGCTCAGCCTCAGCTGTGCTTCCCCAGAAATCGGGATGCTGCTCTATAGGCCATAGATACAACCTTTTTTTTTTTTTGGGGGGGGGGGGGGAGATAGAAAAAAACTAGAGCGATACGCTTTTTTTTTTTGTGGGGGGGGGGGGGGAGATAAGCTCACTGTGGGAATGGAGCATGAAGAGCAACACCCGGCCGGCGTGGAAATCCGGGGTGCGCACGTGCGGCTGGAAAAAGCAGCGATCTCCGCTGTGCTAAACACGCTCCGCGGGAGCGACGGAGATGTGCCAAAGCCTCTTCATGACTTAGCTCCTAATAAACACGCTGTGGATGGGAAATAAGCCTTCCGCTTTCTCTGGCGCGGGTGAGCAGGGAGCTTGCCCCGGCGATGCTCCATCCCCACAAATTGGGGGGGTCAGGGGACATGTCCCTACCGGTCCCTGGGGCTGGGGCTGGGCTCCTGCCCGCCCTGCATCGCTCCTGGGGGAGTTTATCCCGAAATAAAGCCCTCCTCCTCCCTGGCTCAATGGCTGCTTCACCTCCAAGAGTTATTCACAGATAAACTCCATAAATTTGGGGGACAGCCATTTTATCACTCCTGGCAGCTCTGTGCATTGCCTGCCACAAGGTGAAGCCAAGGGAGCTGGGAAGGGATGGAAAGCCAGCTCCCAGGAGAGCCAGAGCGTTGGAGCACCCGGCCAGGACCGACTCTGCTCTGGGGCAGCCGGGGCCACGGGACGGCTGTATCCTGCCCCAGCTCTCGCTGCCCGCCTGGGGCTTCTGAGGCTTTGTTAGACGCAGGGAGGCGCGGGAGCAGAAAACCTCCTCCTCTCTGCCTTGCCTCCATGGATGATTTATTTCGACACGCGACTCCAGCCTGTTTTGCTGCATCACTCCAGGCGCTTTATTGCCTCTGGCCTGGGCTGGCGACATCCCCGCACCCAGCCCCGGCTGCCCAGGAGCAGAAGAAGCCCTCAGCCCCTGCTGCCGGGGCTTGTGACGATGCCAAAATGCTCCCAAGCTTGGGTGGTTAGTTGGCCTTTCCTGACCTCCTAGAGCAGCTCCTCTTCTCCCAGCTCCTTCCCCGAACTGTCAGTCCATCACTGCCTGCCAGTCCATCGCTGCCCACTGGCTCCCACCTGGGGCCGTTTAGGGTGCCCATTGCTCAGGAGGATGCCTGTGCTTGTCAATGCACTGGGACTATTCTGCTGGAACACCACCTGTAAAAATAAATACATTTAAAAAAAATCCACCCTTAATTTTGCCCTACACTTACAAAGGTGCATGGGTCTATTCAATAGCTAATGTTAAGCTATTATGGCCCTGTGAGCTCCTGAAGCGACGTGGCCCTTCCCGGCAGCCGGTATGCGGGCAGCATGCTGCTGTGGACAGGCACCGCTGCCATCCCGTCCCGTCCCGGACC